AAATCAATTGAACTTCCATAATTTACCCTTACAACGGATGTAGTCTATTTATTTGGAATTAAGCTGCCAATCACATTTAAAAGGATTCCACTTAAAAGCCAGGTATAATTGATCACTCCCCAAAGAAGTCAATGAACAGGGATTTCCAGCTGAAAATGCAGCAGGGGAATAGCGAGGAATCCTTTTTGGTATTCAGAACACCAAGTACATTGAGAATATACTCAGTATTCAGTCTATTAAGAACTATATCTGAGAGCAAACATGTATTTCTATTACATATAGAAGTATGACATGCGTAACGTTTGAAACTCCTAATATATTTACATAGGACATTGCAAAGATCATTACAAGCCAGTCCTGCCCTTTGCAGACCCCAGGTCCTTCCCAACTGGGACTAATCACCAACAGCTCCAAATTCATTTTATTGCCAACCTGAAGTGCTGCACAGTTAAATCGGGAAATATTAATTGCCAGATGGGAAACCTGCCACGAGTTCACGCTCAGATTTTTCCAGCTGGAGAGATACAGAGTGTTAAACRGAGCAGATTTCTTTGCAAACTGGCCGAGAGCGCCGGGTTGTCTGTTCTGCAACCACCAAATGAGCAAAACACTGAGCACCTTCTCCACACGTTTCCCTGCAACAAACACTTCTGCAAGCACCAGTCCATGGACTGACACAAGGTGCGGAGCAGCAGGGTCCCGCATCCTGCTCATGGGGGTTATCAGCCCTTCTTATCTCCTTTTCCAAAGCTGTAACTCATTTACGTGCAAGCATTGAAAATTTGCTGTCGACATGCACATTGTCATTTGCTGTAATTAGAAAGCTTTGGAATGCAAGATTTTGGGGCCATGGAACTAAGACCATAGCATAACCAAGGTGGGAAGCGCCCTTTGGTCCAGCCACACCAATTTCCTTCCAAATCCTATCCTATCTCTGCCTAAAAATATCAGGTAATATGGGCAAAAACTGGTCTGGTGAGAAGGAAAATTTCTGCCAAGGAAAAAAAGAAAAGGAGAAAATATATATCTTCAAGTAACGAAGCACATTATTGAAATAATTACTGACATTTTGGGAGAGACTGGGAGAGGACACAAAATGGGCCTGGAATACCAGAGCATGAAAACGCACCCAGAATGCCCCAATTTCCCACCTAATGCCCTGACAAATCAAATAAAACTAGAGCTACAGTACRGCTTGGACTGAATTAAAAACAGTATTCAGCGTAGGTACGGTGCATTTACATAATGGAAAGTTCAAAAATTCGGTCAACTTAGTTGCATTAAATTCATGCCAGAATATAAACCAAGTCTGACCAGCTGCAGCATAAAAACACTAGATATCCTAGTATGAAAAATGAGCTTAAAAAGATTTTTTAAAAAAAAAATAAAATTACACTTAGATGAAGAACTGATGTCAGAGCCTGAGAAGCAAAGGAGGAGCATGGGATGTGGGTGCTGGGGGAACAGGCTGGGCTGAGGCTGGAGCGCTTCAGGACTGCAGATCCCACAAAAGAAGAGCAAAAAAGAAAAAGAATTTACTCCTAAACCCTAAAGAGGGAAACGCTTAGTTCTAACAGAAAAAAAAAGTAAATAAAATAAAAAATAAAGGTTTCTCCAGTGTTTGCACATGCTGGTCATTGGGCACAGGGCAGAGAGATCTTCCACAGAACCATTCCCTCTGGAAAAGCACAGACTGTTTCCTCTTGATGAGGACACACAGATCAAGAAAAGCTTCCTTGGCTTAGAATACATGACATGGACCAACAGGGAGATGAATCCTTYCAGAGACAGCTCCATCAAGGAATTGTGCATTCTAATACCTCCATGTCTCAGACTAGGAATACTTTGGAAAAGTTTTCCAGCTATTTATCAAGCTGCTTCGCCACGTGAGGAACGGCTGGTGGGATGTCACAGAGCTCCCCAGCTCCTGCTGGTGCCAGGAGCAGACATCCATGCATGTGTTCCTTGTGCTGGACCTCCCAGGGTTCAGGATGCTGCTTTGCTCTAGGCTACGTGAAGGAGTCAGTCATTTGCCCAGAGCCACATTCTGGTCCAATTCTTCCTCATATCAAAGCTAATATATAGAATAAAACGCCAGTGAGGTAGCAATAAAACAAGCAGGGCTTGTAGCAACACACGAGCATTTGTTACACATCAATATTTGCAAAGCACTTCACAGACGATATGTTAAAAAACAAAACAGAACACCTAAAACACACACCCCTTCCCTCCTCCCACAATACCCAGACGCTGAGGAAACCAAGCCCTGCTTCTGCCTTTAGCAGCTTCCTAGGGATAGACCGAGCTCAGAGCTGCACTGCAAGCGGAATATCCCGTCCATCCCATCTCTGTTCTCCAGTGCGAGGCCAGCCCCAGCTCCCTAGGCCATGGGAGCACCCGGAGCATCCGTGAGGAGCCTCTGCATGGGGCTCCAAGCCTTGATCTGAGAAATCAGCTGGGACAAAAGCCCTTGCAGAAGCCCAGTCATCAGCCTAATTGCACCCAGATAATTAAGCCATCTACTGATGGAAAACAAATGGAAGGATGTGCCAGCTGCCGGAGAGCAGCCCAGCACTCTCCCTTCAGTTTATTTCTCCARTCAGAGGTACTTTTTAATGCTACATCTACATGCCAGGATAAAAATGTAGCTTAATGGGTTATTATTACTTTCTGTTAAAAGACATTATCATTCCTGATTTACAAAGAGGAGACTGAGCTTTAAACAAATGAAAGGATGCAAACAAGGTTACTCATGTACTGCATGGCAGAAACAAGGGCCGAAGCCAAATATTCCTATGGAGTCCTGCTCAATCACTGAGGTTATTCCTCCTTAAAGGTACTTTTTTTCTACATTTCACTTCTGCAGAAAATAACAGAAGTGTTTATTTATTTATATAGAAGGAGCCAAGAGGCTGTTTCTTTCTCCCCTTGCATGAAGCTCTCATTCTCTGTTGCAAGCGTTTAAGGGTTCCTCTAAACTGGGACCCCAAATTACCCCTTTCTGACATCATTTCACGGCGCGTTGAGGGAGGTATCCAGGCGTGACACTGTATCATTAGGTATAATACAGCCATAGCAGAGACGCTCATTACTGCAAGGAGAACTCATTTGCTTTAGCAGGGCACGTGATAAGGAGCAAACACAAAGCTGGGCCAGAAAYGTCATTGTAGATGGGTGGGCCAGAATAAAGGAAATGGCAGTTTTGGGGAGTCAGGGAAGCTGCTGAGCCCCAGCAGGGTCTGAATGACCAGGTTTCTGCCTCCTGGAGCTCCTCCCTGGAGGCTGCAGCTCCATCCRCGGTTATTTGGGCCCCAGGCTGCTTGCAGTGGCCCCAGTGTGTGCAACTGGGGACACATCATGGCCCGGCACGCACCCCGGCACGAGGGACCAACCCAAGGGACCGACCCAGGAAAAGCAGCAGGTGGGAAAGGGCAATGCACCTCGCCATGGTCCAAGGAGCTTTCCCCACTGCTGCCACTGTGAAAGACACCAACGTCTTTGCAATGATGCCCTTCTATAAAGTGACAAACTCTTCACGGCGATCCGCTCTTGCAAACACACCATGAGGTGACCCTTTTCCAAGGTTATTGCTCTTCCTTCCAACTTCACACAAGGGTTATTGATCCCAGACCTAATTACCCCCTAACTGCGATGGATTAGCCAAGCTACCAGAGCAGCCAATTCCCTCCTGTAAGAAGGGCAGCCGGCTGGSCTTTTGGAGACGTGCGTCTAGGCTTGGCTTCCACCTGTGTTGACCATGTCAATCCACAACAGCTTCCTCAACAAAAACCTGACCCTCCAACCTATTATTCTTGGCTGCGTCTAGACAGTTCTGCTGATCTTGGGCTAGTCTGTCTGTGTCTCAGGTCCCCAGTGGCAGGACAAGCACAGCAACATCCTCCCATGTCCAAAGGGTATCCCATCCTAGCAGGATGCTCACTTATCTCTGCAAACAGGGCCCTGTTTCTTAAACGGGCTCTTCCCACACCATGTGCTCGTATCTGTTAGTAAATGAGAGCGGGTGATGGATAGCTCTGTGTACAGCCAAACTCCTTGGGGGCCCGAGTGCCCATTGAGCTGGAGATAATGGAATTATTTTCATATTTGATCACGTAAATGTCACTGGAGATGTCTGCAACAACCCACTCAAATCTTTCCGCAGGTATAAGGAGTCGTATTTGACAATGACTTTTTCAAGATATACTCTAGTGAGGGCTTTATAAGAGCTCTCATTAYAGCTAAAATAATTTGGGACTTCTCCCACACTCTGGCATTATCTCACACAGCTTCCACTGCTGTAGTCTCACTTGATTTGTGACAGGATGGTACATGACACAAAAAATGCTAATGGAAAAGACACAGGACTATCCCTCCGGTCATCCGGGCCAGTGACAATGATGGAAACTGCTCCTGCACCAGCAAGAGAGCGGAGCACAGAGACGTCATCCTGCTGGTTCCCCTCCAGCCGAGCCACCGCGGTGCCTAAAGCCCTGCCAAGCCGGGCTTATCGCAGCCCTTCCTGCGTCATGGAATAAGCTCCTGCTCCAAAGGGCTCGTGGACGTTGTCACCTCCCCACAGAGGGTCCTCGCATCCCGAAGGGGACAACGGAGCCACCAGCCAGGAGGTTTCACATGTCACACAGCAATGCCAGATTGGTCTCCACAGGGTGGAGGAGCCTATAGGGCTGTGAGCTAAATGCCAGCACCATGCCAAGGAACAGGAAAGGAACAGCTGGGATGCTTTTGCACACACTGCACATGTACTGTTCTTTAGCCACAAACCTGACCCAGAGATTAAGCAATTTATTCTGCACCTGACCCAAAGTTTATACAATTTCTTCTGCAACTTATTCTGGCAGTAAACTGTAACTCAGGGCTCTGCTCTTTCCACAGGAGTTCTCAACTCGCCCAAACCCTATTTCGGGCTCCACTTTTGCASAGATATTAATGCAACGAACTCACCAGGCACTTGCTAAAGAAATGCACCTTCAACGCCTCCATCACCTGCCCGTCCGACTTTGTCTCAGCAGCTCTTCCTTCTCCTTTTGCCACGTGCGGTGGCCTTCCAAAAACACCGGACCCACAGAGCTGATGGTTCCCCAGACGTTTCCAGCACATCCGACCCTACCACATCACATCACACCCAATGCAAAGGCCCTTGCCAGGGGCTGCACGGTGCTCAGCAAAACATCCTCCTCTGCYGAAACACGTTCCGCTCTCGCCTTCAGTTTCAGGAAAGAGTTAGGAATTTGTATTTGTTTCTTATTTGTGCAACAAACTTTTGGCTACTTTTTTTTTTCCACAGTCTTAGTCTTGCTTGAAGCCTTATGAAACAAATTAGATCATAAAAAGTTATTGCACTAGAAACRGTAAACACCGAACAGCACAACCAGAGCACACACAATGCACACAATGACGTTAAYTATTTACCAGCACTCGGTTTGATTATATTTTGGGTGACGGTACTYGAGATTTTTAACAGCTGCATAAAGCACTGTTACCTTCTATAGAATCCCAGAATAAACCATCCTTTAAAAATTTATCCCTTAGAAACCAAGCACCCCATTCAGCCACTTGTCAGGATGAAGGCAAGGTGAACGTATTTATTTTTAACGGGGCCCTACCTTTGAAGAAGCAGTCCTTGCTGTGGCTGATGTAGATCTTCCTCCGCTGCAGGCAGGAGGCTCGGTGCAGCTGGCAGTGGTTCTCGTAGAGGCGGCCGTCGGAGCCGCACACGGGCACGTAGCGGGGCTTGCAGCCGCGCACGCAGCGGCACTCGGGCCGCCCGCTCGCCGCGCTCACCACGCACTCGCTGCCCCGGCCGCAGAACTTGTGCTCGCACGACGCGGGCAGCCCGTCCTGCCCGGACACCGCTGCGGGGAGGAGAAAACACCAGCGTTAGTGTCACTGCYCAACACGGGCCTCTTGGGGCAGCGCGGCCACCGGGACTGGGAGGCTGCGGATCCCCTGGGAGGTTGGAGGGATCTTCACACCTGGGCTCACAGGCTGCCACTTGGACATTTGAAGCATGAACTTCAAGGGTGCGACCGAAGAGCAATGGGCATGGGAGCTGGTGCTCTTTCAGTCCTTGCAAAACTGGACCCCTGGTGCTCTTTCAGTCCTTGCAAAACTAGCCCCCAGAATGAAATCCGGAGAGCATCTCTCTATGCAAAATTTGGATGTGCATCCAGAAAGGCTGTTCAAAAATCCTGCACTTCTCAAGCTTCCAACCCCAGAGGAGCTTTAGGAAAAAGACACCCCAGGAGGGAGCAGCCCTGAGCTCAAGGCATCGTGATGGGACGAGGCTTCCCGTGAAGACACCACCAGTCTATCCCTGCCTCTGAGCAGTCACACAACAAAAACTAACTTCACAGTCCCCAAAAAATCACGTTCTGCACATCGCTCCCCTAYCTATTTCTTCTTGTTATTAAAGGACAAGGAAAGTTGCCTTGGGGCTGCAGTATTTTCTGCGCCTTAYGTTTCCTCACTTAAACGCTTACAACAGAACATCACTCTAATTTATCCAGGACAGGGCACTTCCAAACAAGCCGCGGCTTGGAGCAATAATTAGCATTATGCTCCGTGAACAGAGCTGCAGGAAATTAGATTGTTCTGCGTTAATTGGAGGATGCAAAGCCGGGAATTACAACGGGACGCTGCAAAAGGTGCAATTACAGCATGAACAAGCACTTGGCACCCTCAGCCTTGGCTCTTGGTGCCCCTTGGTGTGTGCTGGATGGATGGATGGATGGATGGATGGATGGATGGATGGATGGATGCCCCTGGATCCTGGGTGGATGCTGCGTTTCACTTCCTGGTGACTAAGGGGTTAAAAGTACAAAAAAAGTCAACAAGAATTTCTATATGCAACAAAACCCCCATTTTTTTCTTGGTCCCAGTTAAGCCTTTGTTTATATCACTGTAAATCTGAAAGGAAAAAGTATCTGTTATTGGAGGATTAACTATTTGACTCAATAACTCATTAAAATTCCTCCTACCTTGCCAACCTGAGAAATATTGACTTTTTCCTGACTCGTAATAAACTAGAAGGTCAAAGTATCTCTGAGCAGCGTCGAACGCCCAGTCCCTGGAAGCAGCATCTGAATATCCCTCGTGTACGTCCCTCATTGCTCCAGGGCTCCTACAAAACAYCCTCAAAAAGGCAGATCCCGTCCTGCTCCCCATCCCTTGTCCCCTCCTGCCCCTYGCGGGCTGCTCTGATCCCACGGGACAGGTTGGACTGCCTGGGATAACTGTGGGCTTATAGGGAAGCCGGAGCCCCGGCTGCTCTGCCTCCGTCCCCACCACGTGCAGAAGATCCCCAGGTAGCTCCTACCAGGTCCTGGTGCCTCTTAATAATCCTACAAGGATTATTAAGAGCGGGAATGGGAAAGGTAATCAAGTGAAACTGGCCACTAAGCGCCTGCAGTATTTACGAACCCCTCTGTATTGCATGAAAAAGATTTTATTTAATTCATTAGGTCGCACAGAAAGTCATTTACAGGGGTTAAAAATTGATCACCTTGCAAAACAAGGCACTTTTCGGCACTAATTAAGTTTGCCCAACACGGTTAAAGGCTGACTTGCTGCACTAGACCAGAGTCAGCAGAGGAAGCCCACCTGCAAACACCACGCTTGCTCTAAACCCAGCTGCTCTCGCGATCCAAACCTGCAAGTTGCAGCCAAGTTSTTATTCCACGGGCATCCCCACAGCAGGAGTTTTCCAGCACTTTTCCTTGGCTACCTTAAATAATATTCTATGGTTTAAWATCTCAGCTGTACCAAGCACTATTTATTGCTAAAAAATACCTGTGGTTGGGCTGTGCAGTTGTATTTACACATGCTTATAYGTGCCCAATTGGGTATGGGTTTATATACATCTGTTCCCATATGCGTATATAAGACTAACCAGGCACTTCCCAGCACACTTGACTTGCCACAGCTTCAATTTTGCCGCTAACGAGATGCTACAGCACGGGGCCTTCGGCCTGCCCTTACCAGCACGGGTTTAATAGATGTTTCCTGAATAACTCGTGGCTTGAAGTAACGAGAGTGGAGATGCATGAAAACCGCACCTGGCTTCTGGCAGCCAGCAAATGCTTGCACACATTGACACTGCAGCAATAAAACACACGAAACACAGAGCAAGAGCTCCCTAATGATCTTCTCTGAGTTTCTCCATTTCTCATTGCACGTCTCTTCGGAAAGCAGGGAGGCGGAAAGGCCACAGTGAACGGCCTGGCACTCGCGTGCGTTATCTCGGTTACCAGCCTTCCGTGATATAATTCATTTATTTACACTAAGCAAAACTGGTGATATATCCTGGAGAAAAATACAGGCTGTGAGACCCTCTTGGACTGAGCTTTGCTACGGACACAAATTGTTGACGCTGGTTCTTCCAGGGCTTGGGATAACCAGAGGGACCAGCCAACGCTTCAGTAGAAGTGACCATCGCTACTGGGMTCCCACATTACAGAAAAGCTCCCAGGTTGAAAAGCAAAGCAAAAACACCTTAAAGGGAGAGATGTGTCTGAAAAGAAGCGTTGTCACAAACAGCTACAACAGCAACATCAACACTGGGGGAACTGCTAATGTGGGCGCACGGTTCAGTATTAAACAAATAAAAGAACTGCTCAACCAAAGGTGTTTGGCGACRTGCAATTATTCCACTAATAGCACAAGGAGTCGCTTGAAATCACAGAAAAAAAATCCTACATCTATTTCTCTATCTGAAAATCTTCTCTGTTAAAAAAGAAACTCCTAACAGGTGATACAATGAAAACACAATTGAAATTTCTGAGTGACTCAAAATGATCAATTAAACTAATTTTAGCCCCCTTCCCAATCCTTTTAACTATGAAAAGATCAAAAGCTTCATTAAACATTATTTTGGGAAGGCATTATGGTTTATGACTGTGCCAATAAAAAAAAGAGGCAAGAAACACGAAGAAATCCAAAGATCAAAACTATGTAAAGCATATATGCAGATTACTAAGGAAAAAATACCCACCAATGTAGGAGAGCTTATATATTTAGAGATGTGCCATGAATCTGCAGCAGGCACGATCTGCTTGACTGTTGTGCTCTTGGAAGAGCTGCTGAAGGGATGATTTATGGAATTGCCCTGCACGAGCCGATCATCCCGGCTCCCTGCGCAGCGGGGCGGGAGGCCGAGCCCCGTCTGCCCGACGGTGCACGGGCTGCAGCTCCCAGCCCAGCCCCGTCCTTGCTCATCACGGAGCAGACAACAGGCCAGGCTGGATCTGCAGGGAAACGCTTGGGCTTCTGTASGTAAAGCTGGAGACCAAGAGGGTACCCCCTTCCGAAGGGGGGAAGGATCCTCCCCGTGGCATCACGCTTGCTGCCTCGCATCTCCATCAGCCKGGGACCGCGCTGCTCCTCTCAGGACCAGCCTTATTTTCCTGCCCGTTTCCAGGTATCTTTCACCTTTTGAGAAGTCAATAACCCACTATCACACCTCTTCCCGCTCTTTCTTGGATGAAATCCTTGCAGCCAGGCTACGAGGAACCCAAACAGGTTCCCAAACACGTCAGAACCCCACAAGGAGGCAACTGCAGATGACTTGCCCACGTTCCTGGAGCCCTCTCCAATGGCCCTGCCATGGGGGTGGCTGGAAGCGAGTGGGACAGGCTCCGTGTCCCCAGCAACGTTACTGAGCCTTGAACGTGAGGACAGAGCTGCTCCAYTGCACTCCAGCCATGCAGGCTTCCTTCTCCTTGATCCCGTTTCAGTCTGGCCCTCTTCTTGTTCCTTCGGCTCCCATTGGGACCAACGATCTAAACGGAGCTGGATTTATGAGTGATCCGAGCTGAGAACCAAATCCTTGCTTGAGATGGGTAGCTCAGCCCGTCTCAACATGAAGGAGGGCAAAAAATAATAATTTAGACAGCTCAGCACACTGGGCTATGGTGCAGCAAAAGGGAGACACGCGCATGCCCACGTACATTAGCAACTCCTGCAGCTCTTCTACTGCAATATCAGAAATAATCCACAAACAAAAGATGCTACGTTTCAATCTCTGGGGTATTCCAAAATCTCATGGAAATTTCTCTATTTTCTAGTCTGTTGACTCACTACTTTGTATTACAATCATTTAAAATAGCTTTCCTTGGTTGTTATATGCGTGCTTTTGTCTTGCATAGGCACAAAGCAAATGCTCCTGCAACCTGGCTTTACRGGTTTCTCACTTTCCTGGTTATTTTTCTCACTCAGTGCATCCATTTACACAGGCACTACGAGTGGGGGGGCAAGTTCATCACATTTGTCTCAAAAATAAACATTCTTCTGGCAATTTATATTCAGCTGAAAGAGTAACAGGAAAAAAAAAAAGAAAGCTTTTTCACAGCCCAACAACATTAAACGGGCAGAAGCACCTTAGACTTTCACACGCTTCCTGGACTGCTAGGAAAGGATGGGGTCTGGCACTGGGTATCAAAGAAAAATAAAATAATTATCAGGTTTTCTAGGAGCTTCCACATCAAACCTCAGTATTAGTGTATCTAGCATGGAGCAGCGTGGAGAAACAGACTCAGCTCTGCTGCCTTAGGAAAACTTACGTCTATCTATTCACTTAATTTGAGATAGTGSAGGAAACTCAGCTCACTGGTGTGGCCATGGTCACTACTTGTTTGCTGGGATTAGCAAATCCAAGACACCTCTTAGGGGAAAAGACCACAAGGAATCAGTACAAAAGAAAGTGGACAGAAGAAACATTTCTCAGTCACTTGGACATACTGAGCAGGAAGAGGCACTTTGGTTCACTGTGACATGAACGGGTACACAGACACCAAAGCTTAATAATTTATGTGAAGTTAGAGCTGACCCTAGTGCTACCTTTAGTTATATCAGCGGA